GAAAACGAAAGTATTTATAAACAACATTAATTTGCCGCTTCCTATCCATTGTTTGCACCAAATTGTTTTTTGTTTTAATCAGCTGTTTGTTTACTTTTTACAACTTTCTCTCCTGAGAACGAAAAATTTGTATTTACTCTCTGCAAATTCTTACTGAGCAAATTTTACTGGGAAAGTAAAATTTACTTGGATTAAACCAAGGCATATATAAGGTCGGTCAGTAAGCGAATTCGTAGAGAAAACTTAAGTTTAACGTCAACTTGTATTTATTTCGCCCTGACGCGAACTTTGCATATGCGAATTAAATTTAAATTTGTCAAGGTTCGACATTTGTCTTCATTCTAGAAATTGTTTTTAACTTTTTCCCCCTTAAAAAGTTTAAACCACAAAACTAGGTCTGCCTGTTATTTATTAACAGGGGCGTACGCATTTTTTTCTCACCTCATTTTTTTTTCTTACTACTGCTCCGTTTCAGAACTGTAATTTTCACTATTGTTTTTCAATATCCGAAAGAAATAAATTGTTAACGTAGTAAATATTTGTATATTCTTGTAGTTTCCGGAATAGACATTTATTTATTTTTGTAACAGAGAAAATGATTATAGGTTCGTTCGTTTACTCAATAGTTTGTACGAATTTGTACAAATTATTACAAAATGTTGTTCGTTTACCCAAAAGTCCAGTAAAAGAGAGTGAATTGAGAGAGCAGATTTGACAGTTGTGTTACTGAGTATTTGCAAATTCTTACAAGGAAAATTTACTCAGTAAGAATTTTCTTGTACCATCAGCTGATATTTAATCAGCTGTTTTGTTATGTTTTGTAAACAAACAAAAAATTGTTCTCAAGAAAATTCATTGTTTTGTGAATTTTATTTTGATTTTGTATCATTAAATAGTTAAAACTTACCGGTCACAACCCTTTTAAATGTTTGTGGGGAACAAACAACATCAATTTTCCGCTTGTTATCCATTTTTCTAAAAAAAATGTTGTTTTTTAGTTTGCGCCAATTTGTTTGTTGTTTTAATCAGCTGTGTCGAAACAATCTTTTTACTGGATGTTGTTCGTTTACTTTTTGCAGTTTTCTCTCTTGAGAAGGAAAAATTCGTATTTACTCTCTGCAAATTCTTACTGAGTAAATATTACTGGGAAAGTAAACGAACGAACCTTATATCATAACCTTACACTACTAATATTTGACAATCCCACGACGGCCGGTTCTACGCACCGGATTGACTCGGAGGAATCAACTTCCGACCAAGGGCTGTCAACCCAGCAAATACTACGTGTATTTTTTCAACATGGGAGCATCATTACCCGGAATGCTTGCTCCGGATTCTTTTGGTCCGTGCCGGGATTGAGACAAACCCCGGACCATGGTTCTGCTCAGTTTGTCACAACAGCATCCACCACAGATCTATCTCGGTGAGATGCAACGGATGCAGAGAATGGGTACATTTCAGGAGTTGTTCCGGCCTTAGCCGGATACAGGAGTATAGCGAAAGGGACTACGTTGATTCTTGCTGCGCCAATGCAGTCCCCAGCGAGTCGTCGTCGTCACCGTGGATCACGTCATCATCGTCGTCGTCTTCGGATTACGTGACTCCCCCGCAATCTCCGCAGCAGCAACCTGCGCCGCAGCCGCTAACACCGCACATTGCTGTCGCAACTCCTGATAATGTATCCTTTCTACAATTCAACTGCGATGGACTTCGAGGGAAAATCAACGAGATAATGGATTTTATGAGTCGAAGAAGTATTATGGTCGCTGCGATCCAAGAAACGAAGCTGAACAACACCTGTAGTCTTCAGAGTTGTGATGGATACAACGTTATTAGAAAGGATCGTACAAGAGGTGGAGGATTAGCATTCCTATTGCACCATTCTGTCCAGTACAGACCTATCTCGCTTGAGCTAGACTCTAGTGACCCATACATGGAATGTATGGGGGTAGCGGTCAAATGTGGTACCGCCGAGGTAGAGGTGCTTAACGTTTACATTCCGCCGTTAAATAGCTGTGCCCCGCGTTATTTGCCCGACATTAGTCATCTTTTGGAAGGCAATAACCGTCTGGTGGTAGGGGATTTCAATGCACATCATGAGTTATGATATTCCGTCCTAGGTAATGACCAGAGGGGCATGGCGCTGGCCGAGCAAATTGATAGCTCAACGTTTTGCACGGTGAACGAGGACATACCCACCAGGATGAGGGGAGACTGCCAAAGCTCACCGGACATATCCATCGTGTCTCCCATCCCTTCTGACGCTCGGGTAGCAGAAAGGAATTTCCGGGACATCATCACTGCTGCAGCCGCTCGCTATATACCTGCGGGTCGTATACCCGAACTAAGACCGAACTTCCCAGCAGAGGCAGCGGGACTAGCGAATGAGCGTGATGAGCTTCGCCGTTCTAACCCTACTAACCCCAGAGTCAGAGAACTGACGTTGGAAGTGAACAGGTTAGTCGGCGAGCATAAGCGGAAAAAGTGGCTAGAGCATCTGAAGTGTTGCAACATCAGTACCGGAGTGAGTAAATTGTGGGCAACGGTTAAGTCGCTCTCGAACCCTGGAAAGAAGGAGGATCGGACTTCTGTCTCATTTAACGGCGTTGAGGTGACAGATCCGAAGAGGTGCGCGTGTTATTTCAACCGGCAGTTTATAGAGCACCCCGAGAGTGACCGGGCGAAGAGAAGAGTGTTGCGCCGTATACGCTCTCTTCAGGTGGAGGAGGAACCACCACAATTTACGTTGGAGGATGTTGCAAATGTCATCAGGAACGCGAAATCATCCAAAGCGCTTGGTCCAGATGGAATCTCAATGGTGATGTTGAAGCAGCTTGATGAGCCAGGAGTAGATTATCTCACCAAAGCCCTCAACTTGTCGTTATCCACCCTAGTAGTTCCCGACGCCTGGAAAATGGGCAGGGTGGTCCCGCTACTGAAGCCGGGCAAGGATGCCAGCAAAGGTGAGTCATACAGGCCGATCTCACTTTTGTCGCCAGTAGCCAAGACACTTGAGGCTTTACTACTCCCCAGCATTCGTGAATGCTACTCGGTTGCTGATCATCAGCATGGATTCCGGAAACAGCATAGCACAACAACAGCTTTGCACGCCATTTCCGCACACATAGCAGAAGGACTCAACCAGAACAGGCCGTGTAACAGGACAGTCATGGTGGCGCTAGACCTATCAAAGGCATTTGATACCGTCAGTCACGCCAAGCTGTTCGAGGACATCGAGAGAACAACCCTCCGGCCAAGTTTGAAACGTTGGATCGTGAACTATATGTGTGGACGCCAGTCGTACGTGGAATTCAGAGACAGGAAATCGAAGGCCCGTAGAGTTAAACAGGGAGTTCCCCAAGGAGGGGTGATATCTCCGGAACTGTTTAACCTCTACCTCTCTGGAATTCCACGCCCACCGGACGGCATAAAGATCGTGACATATGCGGATGATTGCACGATTATGGCGTCAGGACCAAAAATTGATGACATTTGCGAGAGGCTGAATCACTATCTCGTAGATATCGCAGATTTTTTCCGGTCGAGGAATATGAAAATATCCGCCACTAAATCAACGGCCACACTGTTTACCACATGGACAGCGGAAATGAGGCTATCTTTGAATGTGCAGGTCGAGGGGTCCACAATTCCGACCACTAATTACCCCAAGGTTCTAGGGGTCACATTCGATAGCCTATACAAGTCGTCCGCGCATGCCACAGCTATTTGCGACAAAGTCAGGAGCAGAAACAAGGTTCTCAAGTCGCTAGCCGGCAGCACTTGGGGAGCTGACAAGGAAACCTTGTTAACGACTTATAAGGCAATAGGCCGGTCTGTGGTAAACTATGCGGCGCCAGTGTGGTCCGCTAACGTTAGTGCAACGCAGTGGAAAAATCTTCAATCCTGCCAAAATGCCGCCCTGAGGACTGCAACAGGGTGTCTCCTCATGACTCCAATAGACCACTTGCATGAGGAGACGAAGATCCTTCCTGTGCGTCAACACAACAAGATGTTGTCGATGCAATACTTGCTTGGGTGTTATAGGAGCAGCCATCCGAACCGATACCTAATGGATAGGCACCCACCACCCAGGCATGTCAGGAAGGATCTCCATGATCTGGAGAGAGAGAGGTCCAGAGATACAAAAGGGAGCCTCTAGATCAACAGGCCTATCAAGCAGGATTGAACAGTATTCACACGGACGCAGTTGAGGAAGCAGTTCAAGAATATCGTGTGAATACCATCCTCGATGACCATCCGCCTGAGATAGCCGCAGAAGAGCAGCAGCTACCTCGAATGTTAAAATTTTTACTACGATAAAATTGAGTAGATTTTTGCAGTACGTGAACAGTCCGCACAGACCAAAGAACTGCGAAGTATTGCATTTGAAAATTAAAAAAAAAAAAAAAAAAACAAATCATTCATTAACCGGTGATGTTTTCTATAAAGAGTTTCATTTCAATTCTGCTAGGTTCAATCTACTGCAGTATTAGCCTAAAGATAACAAAGTATTCTATATAGTCCATTTTTTTAATGTTACTATGCCCGAAAAACCAAAAAAGACTAAGGAATGAACTAAATCGATTTCGAATTCATGGTCCGCGATCTTTCGTCTTAGAAGCACCTGATTATTGACATATACAGTCAAAGACCCTACATTTGCATATATGGTGTGATAAACAATATAATTTATTTTAATATTTCCTAACGATGGGACAATAGATTGATTCAGATAGTCGACATATGACGATCGATGTAATAAGTTAGGTCTAGGACTAATAATACCTGTCGTAATAAACTCTCGGGACCACAAAAACTCATAAGCCACCCACAACATAGCTATGGGTTATAACTATATAGTTTTTTGCCTCTTGTAATAAAGAGCATAATATATGCATGTATATATCAAATTTCAAAATTGCATAATGCACTTGAAATTCCACTTTATTAATGTAATATTTTCCAATTCGATTTAAACTAATTTCCAAATTATAAATTAACTACAAAAATGCTCTATCCAAACTAGACAGCTCATCGCCACTATCATTTTCCAGCAATACAAAATTCTCTTCCGATTTGGTTGTAGTTTTCTTTTCTTGTGATTTCTTTTTTGTACTACATGATTTTCCGGAATTATGTGTGTTTGTACTGTAATTTGAACAACGCGATTGAGATTTTCCACCGCCAGCACTGCCTCCATATATTTTACGCAGTGTATTTAATTTTTGAGACATTCGACTGGATTCTTGTGATCTATTGACATTGGGTCTGGTTGATGTTTCCAAAAAATGTTCATATTCCAAACCAGGATCCGAATGATGGAATAGACCACGTCTACAACTGTGGGTGCGGGACGAGTTTTTCTTTGTGCGTTTACGTTGATTTGTTTGGCACATATGACGTCTGCCCTCCCGTTGGCAATTGTGGGAAAGTTTGCCGACATGTGGTCCCCAATATGTTGGACCTTCCAATAGCAAAGGTGCAGATTTAACACGTTGCCTCATCAATTCCATATTCAATTCGTATTCACGTTTTTGTAATGCCTGTTCGGCCTTACGTGTTGCCAAACGAAGTTTGATAATTTCTTGATGGGTTTCGCTGAATAAAAGAGATGTGTTTTCAAATAAAATGTTTACCGGAAACCAGGGGAATATTTTAGGAATACTCACTTCATAGACAATGTCTTCCATGCTGGGGTTTTTCGCACCTCCCAATCAACTTGTGGCGTCTTATCGTGATATGTACAGTTGTTCTTTAGTTCCTTCACTTTCTTTTTGGAACACTCCACTCTCAAAGTGGCAGCCAGATTAGGTCGAGCAACTGGATGTATTGGGGATGGAGTGTTTTGCTGTAAATGGAAATGGAGACTAGTCAAATGAATATTTTTATTAAAATCAAAGTTCCGTTACCTTTCTGCATTGTGATTTCTTGGACGATTCCAAATCAAAAATTTTAAAAGGAATTTTATAGTTGTCTTCATTGTATTTACTTTTAGATTTCGTTACACTATTCGCTCTATCGGAAGATGTATCTGTGGTGGGAGTTTCAACAACAATTTTCGGTATATTCCTATTAAAACGAGGTAATTTCCTATTATAAAGAGGTTAATTTAGAAAATAATTTAAATATTTACCCAACACCATTTCTTTTGTTAGCGTTCTCCACAAAGTAATTACTTAATTTATTGTCATCCTTATGAGCATCTTTATTACCTTCAAACGATAGTTTATCTAACGTTTTCGTCTTCTCTCGAAGTTCTTTTAATTCGATGGGTTCCGTTATAGAATGTATATCATTGAATGAGAGTGATTTCCGTAGTCGCTCACGTAGGGTTGATGTGAAATTGCTTCTAACAGGTACTCTGAAAATAAAGGCATATGAATTTACTTCGTATTCCTCAAGAACATTTTAATAAAAATGGTGGGTTCAGATATTCTAGAAATCAGGAAGCCCACTTTAAAGTATCCAATGGTCAACAGAGGTACAGCGCAGGATCGAATGCTCATGCACCCTGGTGATGATGTGGTTGTACTGATAAGTGGCAATTTTTTACCTACAATGTCTGACATTATTCAGGGCGCATGGAGCTTTTGTCAAAGTGGGTCGAACACAATGGTCTTGGGGCAATTCCCACGAAGACTGAATCAGTTCTGTTCACCAATCTCAGATCTACCTAAATTCAATGGAATAGTTCTTGAACTCTCTCTAGAATCCAAGTAGTACTCTAGACCATTAGTTAGCGTTGAAAATGGACGTCAAGGAAAATTCAAAAAGAGGTCTATTGGTGCAATAATAGTAGAGGTATATTATAAATATGGAGTTATATCTCAAAAAGACCTTGACTGTATAGACAAATATCTATAGAAATAGGTTGTTTGTCCTTAGAAGACTAATTGAAATCATAAGGGATAAATGGTCAGTCGAAGAAGTTATCATTATAATATATTGTTCGATTTGTACCATAGTTATGGGGTTTACTTACTTTTCAGTAGCATCTTTCTTCAGATCATCAGTTTTCTCTTTCGATGAGCATCGTGTAAATGATCTGGATTCATTTCTATTTAATTGGGAAGAATTACGTGTGGCTGGTCTTTTGAATTGTGATTCGTATTCTTTCAAGGATTTTTTGAATCTTTCAACTTCTTCCTCCAGTTCCTTTTTCAAACTTAAAATTTCAAAAAGTAATATTAATTGTACATACATAACCTCAAATGTAAACAAAATAAACCCGCATACCTTTTGGAGCTAAATGTATTTCCACAAAACTTATTTTCCGATAAGTTATAACCTGAATCTGGAATAAAGTTCGATTTCTCCCTAGTGGTAAAATCTAGAATACATTCCGACTCTTGAGATGCTGATATATCTCCACGATGATTTTTAGCAATGGATTTTTTCTTTTTCTTGGACTTTTTGGATTTTTTACTTTGACAGTGGGATGACAGTGAAGAACTGGTTGTTGTACTACTGCTGCAACGTTCATCGGTAACACACAAATCCGTGGGTTTCGTTTTCAACTCACGACAGGTACTTCTTAAAGTATCCAAAGTTGAATAGAATTCCTCCTCAGTTAAGTGGGTTAATGCACCGTAATCTATATGGAATTAGAGGCTTTGAATTTAATGTTAAGAATTAAAAATGGAAAAAGTGGAACCTGGTATGCTATCGTAGAACTTTGTCAGTGGGCGTATACCACTACTGCAAGACCACTTGCTATCGATGACATCGGAATTACAGGTTTTCGTTGTTGTATGCAATGTTGCACTGGCTGCGGTTGGTGTCATAGACAAACGGCCCAAATACATCTTGGGTCGATTATAGACGGGAGCTGGACAATTATTACACGGATCAATTGGCACTTTTAAGCAAGAATGCAAAAATGAAGCCATTCTATATGAACTTTATCCAAAAGAATTAACCTAATTCTTGAGTGAATATTAGCAGAGGATAGTCTATTTCGTGTCTATTTTTTTTCTGCTGATAAACAAAATGTTTTTGTTTCCATGGAAACTTTTAAATTTGTTTACATTTCCTAATGGACGGACTTAATGGAATATATGCCTAACTAGACTAGTATTCATTGTGATGCTATTTTCTATTCTATTACCAACGACAATAAGGGTTGCATTAGGTCTCCCATTTCAACACCTCTATACGCAATTAAATAAAGTTAGGCTCTGGAACATGCAATAACAACAAAATACGAACATTCAATTCAGTCTTTTTTTTATTTTCATGATGATTCTTTCAATTTTATTTTAAGAGATTCAAAATCATTAACAACTGTATATTGAGTTTTGTCATCATCCGTCAGTGGAGCATTACCGGGTCTGGCCAGTATAACAGTTTGTAATCCAGCCTTACGAGCTGCTTCCGCCTCTGAAACGAAGAAACAAACATTAATTATAAAAATATATTTAGACTAATGAATGTGAGTTTGTGTACCTTTAACAACATCAGTTAAAAACAAAATATCACATGGCTCTTCTCCTAAAGCCTTGGCAATATTAACATACGATTGCTGTTCTTGTTTGTGGCCACTTGTGGTATCAAAGTGTCCCGAAATGTATGGCAACAAATTTCCCAATTCAGTTTGACCAAATAGCAGCTGCTGAGCTTTTATACTGCCACTCGAGTAAATGGCTAAACGAAGACCAGCCTCTTTCCAGCGTTTGAATGCTTCTGGTACATCAGGGTAAACACTGATAAGAAAATAAAACAAAACAACTCTTAGCATTTCTTGAGTTATCAATGAATGCCATGTAAATCTACTTACTGGCCTTTAAGGTCACCTTTTTCATAGCCCTTTTCCCACACCAATCCCTGAAGTTTTTTTAGCGGTCCCAACTTCAAATCTTTGTCAATCAAATATTTAACAAATCCATTAACCGTGTAGACGTCATAGGACTCATCACCCAAATTGGTGGCTTCTTTTTTATACACTTCAAATTCCGGCAATTCGAATAGTTCTCGAACTATTTCACTGGTTTCTTTGTTAATCCATGTCTGTTCCAAGTAATCTTTCGTATATTCTTTGGCATATGGAAATAATTTATCCTGCAATAAATGAAACAGAATTAAAAAGTAAATCCTTTGGATTGAAGCGAACGATGATACCTTAACGAAACTAATTGACGTCGTTGTCCCCTCAATATCTGAGAGAATAGTTTTGGCCGTAAATTCAGTCATATTTCAACTTTACGAATGGGATGGGATAAGACAAAATGCCCGGTAAAGAAGAAGTCAAAAAAGAAGACCGGAAAGTTACGAATGAGGTGGGATGGAGACTAAAAAGAGTTGGATTGTTTACGAATGAGGTTTAAGGAAAGGATGAGAGTAGCAAGGGTAGCTCACATTCAGAGTTTGCTAATTACAACCCTGTAAACCTGAGCTGAAAGCAAACGAGACGAGGAGGACCAACCAACAGCTGATCACAATTTGAACAGTTGATCAGCTGTTTGTAGTTCCGAAATGAACTAGTTCATTGAATGACACTTCGTTTTGTTATTCACTATAATATGATAACACATTGTTCTATGGACTGTATGAATTAGGTCAGTGTATATAGTTCGTTTTGGTTCAATTTAATTTAAATAAAAGGGGTGTACAAGCTGATTTAAGTTGTTTATTATACAATGTCAAATCCGACTTATTTTTATGTGTCCTCTCTCAATGAAAAATTTTGTTCTTCAATGGAATGAAGAAAAGAAAAGCGGACATTGGTCAACGAAATAGGATCAATGGCCATCTATGGAACATGGTACTGTATTATTGTACCTTGTAACTTGAGGTGAATAATTAAAAATTAACTCTGTATGTAGTGGCTTCTTCTGTCAAATATAAAATAAATATACGCAACGAGTTTTGTCATTATTTGACAAGCGAAAAATTAATAAAAGGTTATAATTTCTCCCCGAAATCGAGTAGGGTAATTTCTTTCAGATAAACGCTGTAGAAATTTGTTTCATTTCAATTAAATTTGAAAACATTTTAATCTCATTTATTTATTTTGGGGAGAAGTCATAATCATTCATTCAGATTTCGGGTTTTTAGTCGTGTGTTGAAAAAATATCAAATGAACACAACAATTCGTGGCTTATATTTATTTTATATTTGACAGAAGAAGCCACTACACTACAATGTTTGTTTTTGGTTATTCCTCTCAAGTAGTCCTACATCATATTAGGTATATTCGTTAACTCAATAATTTGTACAAATTTATAATGTTGTTTATTTATGCAAAAGTCCAGTAAAATAGAGCGAATTGAGTGAAACCTAATCTTAAATTAGTAATAACAACGTTCGCCGATTGGTACACATATTTTATTTTATGTGTGGAAATCTGTCGGATTATGTTAGCCTATATTGGAATCGGGCCCCTAGTGCTTGTCACAATCCTCGGCGGGGGTTCAATACGCCTAAGGAATGATTTTATACGGTCAACACAGTTTCCATGATTTAGTCTTTGACCTTCAATTTTCTTTTAGAAGGCAAGATTTGAAGCTACTCTATTGAAAGAAATATATTGTAATTCACAATATAACAACATCACAAGGAGCCATGGGCTGCATGTAGGAAACTTAAAATAAATAGCGACCAGGTCGTAAACATTTTTTTTCACTGACCTAAAACCGAAATTAATTAATAATTGTTTTTGTTTATTTTTGTCAAAAAATTATTGTCAGCATGACAATTTAATTTCTATAACAACAATGTTGTTTTTGTAAAATATTTGTTGTTGAGCAATACGGAAATCTAGCCAAAAAAAA